GTGTCCAAGAGGGGAAAAAATACAGAAACTTTATTAAATCATTATGTCTGTCTTTCACCATCTCCTTGTACATTGCCCTGAATAGATATTGTAAATCATACCAGAGAACTCAAGTGAGTGGAGATTGCATTAGAGATTTGTAATTGCTAGGTGGCACTTAAAATCTAGGCTGGAAAGGATCCCTGGAGGACATTCAGCCCAACCCCTTGCTCAACTAGTCGGGTTGCAGAAGATGCTGTTCATCCAAGTCTTCTCTTCTCCTCTTAAACCTGAACTAATGCTGCACCTGCAACCTCTCCACATACATCACATGCTCCAGCATCCCCATCATCTCCTGGGCTCTCTCCAGTGTGTCTTGTTTGTACTGGGGAGCCTGAAACTGCACGCATATATTTCAGATACAATCCCTCAAATGCTGCACAGAGGGGAATAACCACGTCCTTCAAGTCACTGCTCCAAACCTTGCCTTTCAATTTCATGGGTTCCTGCAAGCCTGTTTTTCCAGTTTTATCAAAATCCATTTGAATGGCAGCCCTGCCCTCCTGTGTTTCTTCCTCCCCCTCACAAGTTGGTATCATGCACAAATCTGCTGAGGGTGCACTGTGTCCCGTTGTCCAGGCTTTTACTAATATGACATAATATTGATCCATGAGGAACACTGATAGTAAGTTAGAATATTGCTTTTTCTTGAGAAATTTCTGGTGGCAACCCTCCGAGCCCACTGGTCCTCTCAATTTTCCACCCACTATAGTCAATTTACATAATCCACCTCTCAGTAGTCAAAGTATTGTTCAAATTAGGTTAAATGGCCTCTGGTGTTTCTTCATCCATGGAGCCATTCGTTTCCTTGTAGCAGGCAGTAAGGTTATTCTAGCATGATGTGCCCTTGGTGAATCTGTGCTGGTGCCCCTGGCCTTTTCATGTGTGGGGGTGAAACTTCCAGGAGTTTTTTCTTCAGTACCTTCTTGGGAACTGAGATGAAGCTGACTGATCTATAGCTTGTTGTGTCCTCTGTCTTGAACATGTCACAGAATCAAGAATGGTTGAGGTTGGACACGACCGCTAGAGATCATCTAGACCAACCCCTCTGCTCAAGCATGGACACCTAGAGCATGTGGTACAGGTGCTCCCGGTGGGTTTGGAAGATCTCCAGAGAAGGAGACTCCACAACCTCTCTGTGCAGCCTGTTCCAAAGCTCTGCCACGCTCACAGTAAAGAAGTTCTTCCTCACATGGAGGTGGAACTTCCTGTGTTTCAACTTATACTCTTTACCCCACGTCCTGTCACTGGCCACCACGGAGAAGAGCCTGTCCCCATCCTCCCTACAATCATCCCTCAGGTACTTGTACATGTTAATCAAATCTCCTCTCAACCTTCTCTTCTCCAGGGTAAACAGGCCCAGCTTGCTTAGTCTTTCCGCATACAATAGATGCTCCAGTCCCTTAATTATCTTCATGGCTCTATGCTAGATCCTCTCTAGAAGCTCAATGTCCTTCTTGTACTGGGGAGCCCAGAACTGCACCCAATACTCCAGGTGCGGCCTCACCAGAGCTGAGCAGAGGGGCAGGATCCCCTCCCTCGCCCTGCTGGCAACGCTCCTCCTGATGCAGCCAGGAGCCCATTGGCCTTCTTGGCCACGAGGGCACATTGCTGCCTCATGGGTAACTTGTTGTTGACCAGGACTCCCAAATCCCTCTGCATGGAGCTGCTTTCCAGCAGGTCAACCCCTAATCTATACTATAATGTGCACGATAGTTGCCTTTTTGCAGCTTTCAGGCACTGTCCCAACTGTGCACCTTGCCAGGTGCTCCAACCTGCTTGTCCTGTCTTGCGTTGGATTGTTTGTAGGCCAGGTGTTAATCCAGCATCTGGAAAGTGTGCCCAGACCAGCAGCATAAATACCTCTCTCCACGTACACTCTGCAGTGTTAACTAAGTTTGGGATAATCCTTTCGTGGCAAAAGGATTATTGAGATAATCCTTTCACAGCATAACAATGCTGTGATTTCCAGATGATGTCTCCAGTTAAGCTTTAATCCCAAGCAGTGCTGTAGGACGGAGGAGATGATGTGTTGTCGGGTGTGCTGCACACATGAGGAAGCCCCCTGTGTGCCAGGAAGATTGACTTTACTGTTGCTTTGGAGCAGTCTGAAACAAGGATGTACAGAAGTAATCTACTCCTTATGGATAACTTTTTCTGAAATATTGTCATATGAAACAGTGACAGTAAGTGCAATCCAGATCATCCACAAGACACCTAAATATCGATGTTGGTCTGTAAATGCCTGCATGTGGGAGTGTGTGTCTGAGTGCTCACTATAAGATTTATTAGTAGAGATTTGGCTCATCCTGAGGTTGAAACCTAGAGACCGACACCGTGGTCAGCCCCTACTAATCAGGCCACGTCCTGTAGCCCAGATCTCTGTATCCAGAGCAGGAGCTTGCCTTTAGGTAGACACCTACGTTAAGGGTGTGTTAATTCTAAACCCTAACCAGTGATCTATGTTTGTGCACTACAGCACAACTCTGAGCCATGTCGTTCTTTACCAGGCCTTTCTTTTAATATTATTTTCATTGTTTAATGAATTTATGGAGAGAAGGGGGAAAATATTCCATGGGATATAAAGGGGCCTGGTTTCCTACAGTCACATTTTTAGCTTTTTTCCATTCCCCACTCCCTGGTCATGTCTTCACTGTCTTCTCTCCCCATTTTTCTCTATTTGTGTTGCCAGAGGCAAAAAATACAAATAATCTCGTTGCAGCAGATAAATAAATAAAACACCCTTTCTATTGCATAGATGTGCTATCAGGAAACCTTGAGGATTATATCAAGAGGGTGATTGCTTTCAAAAATTTAGTAGACCTCTTTGCAGGCTTTTTAACTGTTCAGCATTTTCTTTTCTACTGTGCAGTCTTGCTCCCAGGCATTGCAATATCTTGCAAGTGTTACTTAAGCATCAAAAATTGTCAGTGAGATTTTGCAATCACTCTCAAATGAAACTTTGTAACCGATTTTGTTAGTCTGTGATCAGAAGCTTCGAATGAAACCTACTTTCGTAAGTAAGGACATAAAAAAAAAAAATGCTTTCCGCAATGTAAACATCTCAGAAAAGGCCCGACAGACTGAATGTGTACATTGGTAGTTGGCATAACTTTTTTTTTTTGTGGAGATGCTTTTGTCTTCTTTCAGGTTAAGTAATGAGGAGCTAAATAGAGCAG